TCAGCGGTTTCTTCTTCCGCTCGGCGGACTGTGAATATCGAAACTAGGAATCGAAATTTTAACTTTTGAACGATTCCGGGAAAAACTAAAGGTTAGTCTCGGTTCCAAATCGATACTCGATTCTCGATACCCAACCCTACGGATGACATCAAAATCGTCGTTTTGCCTGATCGGACGTTGTTTTGTCCAGAGGCTAAAGACTCCAGTCAGTCCCGCATGTCCTCAACCCGCCCATAGAGGGCGATCTCACTTACAGAATGAACACTATAGCTGCGTCCCAATTCGCATACTATCCGTCGAAAATAGAATTAGTGCGTCCCAAACCGTAGTATGTTGAAATGAGTGTTTCAAAGATACCCGGATGGTCTACTTTTTCCGGTCAGAATCCGAAGTGTAGATCGATGCACACTCTAACGGCTAATATAGCCCACAACCCTTTGCGCGTTGAACGAGGATTCGGTTAGAACTACAAACACGAGTAAAAAGTGTTAAAAAAAACTACAGACACGGAGGACGCGCGAGTCCCGCGGTTATGTCGAGAGGTTTAGATAAAGAGGTTTGAGTGATTAATTAACACGATCTGACCTGACGAAAATTAATTTATTCTCTGTTCTCCACATTATATTGCATCTGCCGCATCATTGTGAACTTTTGTAAGGATACGTTTAGCCATTACTTTTTAAATGCATCATTATATTCTAATTGCAAAACACGAGGAAAGTATACACATGAAAGACCCACGACTGGCAGACTAACGTGCTCCGATACCGTAAGAAATCAAATTAGATTGAATGGAGGATTTTAACTGGGACGAGATGATTGACACGCGACAGAGCCGTCCGTTAAAGATGATGCGATAGTATGTCCCAATTTAAGCTTGCCTACTTTTTTGCTACACACTCAAAAGTACTTTTTCCTCACAAAAAGAGTACATACTTTTAGGGCGTAGTATAAGTAAGCGAATTGGGACGTATAGTGATAGTGTCGGCCATCTTGTTTTGGAAGCTAAGCTAGCAGGCTCTTGTTCTGTGGAGAAAGCTGAGTAGTCGGGGTCACCGACATGTACGGCCGTCGATGTCCGGGATTCGCCATTCATTGTTTACATGCACAGCTTTTGTTTCAATCTAACTGAATTGATTCCGATTGGTGGATCTGAATGTCGTGTTTACATGAACACTAAACGAGTGATCGCAAGTCGATGTGCGTTTCAACACCGCTAAGAAAATCCCCGCTCCTCCGTGAGAGATACGAGACCGCTGCGTCTCACAGCCTCGCGCTCTTTTACCGGTGGGCGTGGCCTCTTAGAGCAGTGAAGCAAGTGCATTCTGGGAGTTGTAGTCTTTCATCCACATAAGCCAAAAATACATTTTCTATCTTTTCTCAGTCTAGAAATCTTGAGCTGATATTTCACACACACATTCTGGGACGTGAGAGATTTATACATCAGGTGAAAAGAGGCATAATGTCACCTTTAAGTCAGTCATAATGGTGTGAATAAGTGAAAATCTTTATTGATGACATGATTGTGTTGAGATGGAAAGGCTCTGGTCCCGGTCATTGTGTGTGTGTCTCTCTCTCTCTCAGAGTTTTCATTTATATTATTATTTTGATGTATTTTATTTTATTATATATGAAGAGTTCAGATGCAAAAGCCTCTAAATGCCATTTGAAATTTTCTTCTTTAATGATGATTTTTATCAAACTTGTATATTTAAGTTCAGTAATTTCACTTAAATTACAATTAATAGGTGATTATCATTGCCATTCAAGTGAAATTACTGAACTTAAATATACAAGCTTGATAAAAATGACCATTCTAGAAGAAAATTTCAAATGGCATTTAGAGGCTTTTGCATCTGAACTCTTCATATATATATATATTATTTTTTTGTCTTGTCTGTGTGGTGAAAATAATGCTTTTTAACTAGCTGTTTGATTAAAAGAGTTTTAAAAGTCAAAAGAGAAACCAGCCTCTCTCTCTCTCTTTCTGTCTCTCTCTCTCTCTCTCTCTCTCTGTTATTCGGGCTCTAATGCTCAGAGTCTCATTATTCCCCTTCAGGATCAGCAGGGTTTCCCTCCTCTGTTACGGCAGCACTTCTCTCTCAATCAGAGACGCTGTCCTCCATCCGGCCATTTCATCTCTCTCTCTCTCTCTCTCACACACCACTTTAGAAACAGCCTGAGATGGAAGTGAAAGAGAAAATCACCAGGTTTCCGTCTTTGCAGAATATCAAGCTCTCATTTAAAAGTTTTAAATTCGGATATTGTACAATAGCGCAGCGCCGAAGTGCTCGATTGTTCTCGCTGTCGAAGTCTTTCATCCGCAGTCTCACTCCTGAGGGAACGAGCCGAGAACAGCGAGCGTGACGCGTTTATAACCTTTATAACACACACGTGTCCAACACTGACCATACTCATAACTGAGCGTCAGATCCTCATATTTGAGTGATTTCTGGAGGGTCAGACTTACTGTAGATTCACATTGGAATAATCTTTCACAGTACTACACTCAAATTAATATTTCATATCATATTTCATTTTTTTTTTAAATATGCAAAACAGATTACAGGGAATTCTGTGTTTATTTTGCAATAATATATCTGATGTATTGGTGTCATCCCATAATGCTTCAGTGTGTGTGTGATGGAGAAAGCCGTGAGCCCAAAGATCCACGCTCTGGTTATTGTGTGTGTGTGTGTGACTGCTCACTTTCACACAGACCGACAGGGAAACGAGCAGCGCTTCATCTGATGCGATGATGATGATGAACATGAGTGTGTGTTCATGATCTGCTGTTAATGGAGTCCTTCATCTGACATTAGAATCTGATCTCAGGCCTGTTAAAGATGAAATGCAGTGTGTTTCCCTCAGGACGATGCACACACACACACACACACACGAACAGTCTGTTCTCAGTCTTTGTCTTGTTGAAGGCGAGTGTGTGTCGACTGCAGGGATGGCGGGCCGGTGTTAATGATTAATGTGTGTGTGTGTGTGTGTGTTAAACTCTCTCCTGGAGTGGATCCGCACACACTCCTGATTAAACGCTGTTTCCAAACCCTTGTTTTAATCTTCAGCCACACATGCACAGAATAAAGATGAGCTCGCTTCATTTCCCTGTGCAGTAATACACCCGCTCCGCGTGAACAGGTGTGTGTGTGTGTGTGAAGAGGAGAAGCAGGTTAAGCTCCTCGGTTCCTCATCAGGAACAGCAGATTGCCTCGGCGCCGTGAACACGAGAGCTGTGCAGCCAAATCCCACAGAAATGGTTCTCGGATCGAGGCGGAATGGAAATTGATCCCATTACCAGCGCTGCGTTCCCGAGGGAGTCGAGCGCGCCGGAACACGTCAGCTCGCATTCACACACGCTTACAGAACATGCTTTATTCTGTTACTGCGGGAATCTCACCAAAACATCGATGGAGTTTATAGCAATTGATTTAACAAAAGTTTGAATTCTTATTCAGATAGAAACACATTGTCATGAAAAGAATGTCACAAATATCTAATGCTCCTTCATCTGTTTTAAGCAAAATATCATTTCTTAATATTCATTTTTTTTTAACCAACATGCAATTATTCCTCCTGTTGCTTCTGTCAGATCTCAAAACACTTTATATCTCATTCAAGTTGTATGTCATAGAGAGCCTAAGTCCCGCCCCTCCGCTTCCGGCTCATGGGACCTTATTTCGGAAAAAAAAAAAAATATGAATGGTAGTCAATGGCGAGAGACAACTTATCTTTTTATTCCGTCTGAACTGTGCCCTCAATTACACATATGATGTTTGTCAATTTAAAAGATAATTCTGAAAGTCAGAAACGTCGCAGTTTGTCATAAAACAGAAGAGTAACATTTAGTTTTATGTGAAAATCGCTCTGTGAACTACATCTCCCAGGAAGCGAAACAACGAGTTTGATCCGCTGCTCGTGTGTGTGTGTGTGTGCAGTCTGGTACAAAACACTCGTAACGTTACGATTATAACGTAAGACTGTAGAAACAATGACAGACATTAGCCTCAGTAAAGTTAGCTTCATTCATTGGGAGAAAATGTGCGCCTTTGGGGTTTGTAGTCTTTGTAATTATGTCTTATACCTCAACGGTTTTACAGCAAACTGAGACTTTCTTTACTTTAAAATGTATCTTTTAAATTGACAAACATCATATGTGTAATTCAGGGCACAATTCAAACCAGATCAAAATATTTGTTGTCTCTCGCCATAGACTTTTTCCAAATAAGGTCCCATGGTGGTCGACCGGAAGGGGAGGGACTTAGGCTCTCTATAGAGTGCCGAAGTTACGACGTCACTCTGTAGACCAAAACGCGGAAGTGAGTTAGCATTTTAGCACTACGGTTCCCTATAAGTCTATGGGATTTTTGAATGGGTTTTTGCTAAATGGCCTGAAATAAGGTCTGTGCTGAACAAAGCCTCTAAATATGTTCACGTTTTGATCTATGACACAGAACACACAGTTATAACCTGCTTATGGTTTTTTAAACTTTATTGTGTCTGATTGTGTTTTTTAAAATCTTTACATAAATTTTGGATTAACTTGTAAAGATTATCTTGCTAGACAAAACGTGTAAGGGTCTCAACTCTTTGTTGAACACAGACCTTATTTTTTGCGATTTTCCAAAAGTCTATGGGGAAAATGCATTGCTTTTCGACCGAGGGAACCCATGCGCCGCTAGCTTCCGGGTTGTCCTACAAAGTGACGTCATCACTTCGGCACTCTATTCTGAAGGAGATCCTCTGAGGTCATCACAATGCAACTCTGTGACGTCACTCAGGTGTCATGTGACCCTAGAGACTCGAGCTTCAGCACAACTGATAATAATCATAACTGAGCGTCAGATCCGAATATTCGAGTGATTTCTGGAGGATCACGTGACGCTGTACATCGCAGGAACACTGTATATTCACATTGAGAACGGCAGATTTACTTTATAATTTTGTCTGTATTTGAGTACGCTGTTACTAAAGCCCCGCTCCTGCTTCAGATCCCATGCACGGGCCTCGCAGACTCCAGGTCGTGGACATCAAGTCCCGGCAGTTCACCATCCGCTGGGAGCCGTTCGGATACAACGTGACGCGCTGCTACAGCTACAACCTGACGGTGCAGTACCGCTACACGGCCAGCGCTAAAGAGGAGACGCGCGAGGAGGTGTGTTACGATACGCCGAGTGTGCCGCCGCAACACACCATCCGCAGCCTCCCGCCGTACACCAACGTGAGCGTGCGACTGCTCCTGCGCAACCGCGAGGGCGTGAAGGAGAGCGAGGCGCTGCGCGTGCTGACCGACGAGGACGGTACGACACACTCACACACACCTTCCTGTTTACATGCTCATAGAGAACATTAGCAATCAAACACATCATGACACTTATACAATTATATATGAAGAGTTCAGATGCAAAAGCCTCTAAATGCCATTTGAAATTTTCTTCTTTAATGATGATTTTTATCAAACTTGTATATTTAAGTTCAGTAATTTCACTTAAATAACAATTAATAGGTAATTATCATTGCCATTCAAGTGAAATCACTGAACTTAAATATACAAGCTTGATAAAAATGGTCATTCTAGAACAAAATTTCAAATGGCACTTAGAGGCTTTTGCATCTGAACTCTTCATATATAGCCTTTTATGTCCCGATGAAATCGTGTATTTTCCTACAGATTCTGTGTTTCGGGATTTTTTTAAATATTTAACTTTCTTATCGTCTAATCAATTTAATTCCGAGATATAAAGTACTAGAAACCCGGACTTGAGTAAAAGTTCAAGTGCTCTTTAAGCACCACACTTAAGTAGAAGGACTAAAGAATTCAACATTTTCTGTACTTTAGTAATGCAAGTAGTTTATTTTAAAATTCACTACTTAAGTACTAAAAGTAAAAGTACAAGTATTGTGTCATGCAATTATTAAAGAAAGCAGTCAAAAGTTTGAACTAGTAATCAAATAAGGCGCTTTGGCGGCCGCCAAAAAAATGTCATTGCAGGACAACCCCTGCTTTAGTTGTCAATGTGTGTGTCAATCAATACCATTACCCTATACAACTGGCGTGTGATTTAGGCAGCATGAAAGCCAACTTGCAACGAATGATTCGTAAAATTTTTATAATTGTAACGAGTAACTAGCGGAACATTAAAAAAATATCGAAGTAAAAGTATTAAATTCATCGAAAATATCGACTGAAGTAAAAGTAGAAGTATGAGAAAAAACAATACTCTAGTAGAGGACAGATACAGCATTTTAGTACTTAAGTAGTTCTACTTCGTTTTTACTTCGTTAAACATTAACACCTTAATTATTTATTTGTTGTATATTTTTACTTTTCTAATTTTTCACAAATTCCAATTTGTCTTCGTTCTATTTTAATGGTAAAACAAGTTTTCTATCAAAAACATGTCTAATTAAGTCTAAGTTTAACAATCATTATTAAAGGTTTAAGCGGAAAAAAAATTAATACCCTTTAAAAAAGTGTTTTTGTTTTAGTTTTCCCAATTTCTATGTTATCTGTTTTAATTGTCCTGGATATTAATCTTAAATTGTAATATTCAAAAATCATGTCACTTCAAATCAGTTTAATTCATACAAAATTACCTGAACAAATGAATGAAGTGTTACTGTAAAAAGGCTTTATGAAATTGTTTTTTTTTACTGTTGAAGTTAAAACAGAAAAATATATATTATTTTGAGAAGCACATTCTACTGTACAAATAATAATATATTTCTGTCATAATTTCTTCAAGCTAAGCCAAGCTTTTATTTTGGTGTGTTTTGTGTTTCTGCTGATACTTTCCTCACATTTCGTTTCAATTCAATTTAATTAAATTTATTAATGGATAGACTTGAGATGCAACATCTCATTTTCAAGAGGGTCCAAATACACAAATACATAATACAACAGGAAAACCAATGAAATGGTGGCACTGGAGATGAAGTTATATTAAGAGTTCATATGATAAACATTGACATCTTTTATCAGTGTTGTAGTACTCGAGACTCGGACTCGTCTCGGACTCGGTCTCGAGACCATATTTTAATGGTCTTGGTCTTGTCATGGACTCGTGTGCATTTGGACTCGGAATTGACTCGTACTCGAACATTTTTTTTTTTTAGGACTCGGAATTATTCCCGAGTCCACTCGAGTTCAATTAAAAATATTTTTCATGATTATTAATGTATGTTAATAAAATATTTCTTTAAATTGATTGACACGCCCAGTGATTGGTGATTTTCTAGTGTGCAACTGCGCATGACAAATTTTAATAAAATTACTTTTAACACCACCTACTATGTGGCCTTTTTACCCTAAACTGATCATATTTTTTAAACTCTAAGTAAATTCAGTAAAAAAAAAAAAAAAGGATTTCTCTAAGTAAATAAAAGTTTCGACTCGGACTCGAGTGAGGTGGTCTCGACTACAACACTGGCTTTTATTTTAAAAAAGTTTAATTAGATTTGAAACCATTGAAAACACAGTGTTCGTCAGGGAGGAGGCCGTTCGTGTCGCTCTTCTACATCATGAACGGTTTGTTCTGTGTAAACGCGAGGAGACGCGAGCTGTCCGGCCGAAGTCAAGCGCTTCCTGATTCCTGAACTGATGAATGATCCTTCTCACGCTTGAAGGCGTTTGGAAATAAGTTCTGTATTGAACGCAAGAGAATATTGATTTGAAATAAGTCAGTGTCTCTTTAAATCAATGTGTGTGTGATCGGTCCGTGTGTGTCCAGTGCCCGGTGCCGTCCCGCTGGAGTCGGTCCAGGGAAGCTCGTTTGAGGAGAAGATCGGCCTCCGCTGGAGAGAGCCGCTGCAGACCTACGGGGTCATCACGCAGTACGAGGTGAGTCACACACACACACACACACACTGACTGTCGATCTGAGACACGCTGGAGAGACAGAAGAGCAAAATAAAGTAAACTGTGACATATTACACCCAAATATTCTTCAAACGTGTGTGTGACCAATAATGGTTCCTGATGATGTTCTGCTGAAGTGTGTTTTCTGTAATCGCTAAACACACACTGAACAACATTCGCATTGCTTGAGCTAAACTGCTATTATCTAATTTAACAGCTGACAGATATTCAACATGATTCATGACGGACAAAACCAGTCAGATATCCACTGATCTGAGACCTGAGTATCACCACTTACGTCTCGACTGTGTCTCGACTCGTTCTCGTTAGTGTTTCTCAGAGGACGATCTGAACGCCGAGCTCTTGTTCTCCGTGTTTGAGGACGACTCCTGGATTTGTAGGGCACTGGAATAACAAACAGAGCACATGCCGGAGCGATGGCCTCACGGGAATGTGGGAATCACAGGCGAGAGGAAACATGTTACGGCAACTGAACATGATCCTCAACTGAAGAGAGTCTGAGCCAGAACCACATGGAAATATGTGTCATCTCTGATCGGAAAACTACGGTGGCCGAGAGGTGCAAAACAAATCACAATTATGAAAACAAAAAAACAAGTCAGAAAACACAACGACAATTCAGAAAACAAAATAACAATTCGGAAAACACAACAACAAATCTGAAAACAAATTGCGATATTAATCATTCGTTGGTTCGATTCCTATCTCCTTTTCAGGAATTGGCCAAACGCGCGTGCATAACAGTCGGATTCGTTCGTCACTGAATCATCTGAAGCGGTTTCTCGGTCAGTAAGAACAAATAGAGAACAAAACATCGCTGGTTTCAGTTGTTTCACTAGTTTACTTTGAACTAGGCAGCACGGTCCAGTGGATAACCGAACGCAAGCTTAAAGGAGTTGCGTTTACTAATAGTGGTAGGAAGATTTAAATTTGAAAAGTTTTGTTCTCCATAATATCACTAAATTAGCCGGCTAAATAGACAGCTAATATTTACACATACACATGCGAATCAATCTTTCTTCTGCCGCAGGCGCAGTCTGCTGTACTTTCTGTATGTCTTGATTGACAGATGTCTCGTCCAATCAGCGATCAGTATTCCATTCGCCACATATACCTACCTTTTCCGTTTTGTCTGACTTGTCGTTGTGTTTTCTGAATTGTTATTTTGTTTTCTGATTTGTCGTTGTGTTTTCTGACTCGTTTTTTTGTTTTCATAACTGTGATTTGTTTTGCACGTCTCGGCCACCGTAGAAAACTGAACAACATTTTAGCAAACTTTGATCATTTCTGTAGTCGATCATGTTATCCCTATTATCACCAAAATGACATATTTAAAAAACAAGGTACTTAAAATATCTTGAATGTAACTCGACACCCTCGCCTCATTAGTATGCGCGCTTCTATGAATATGCAAATGAGCCCCGCCTCCACTTCCTCACTCGGCTCTGAATGTCGGTCATGAACACATGCTGTTTTCAACATTTATATTTTGCCAAAATGTTTATTTGTACACTGTATTTACCTAAAGGATTTAGCTATTTTTATTGTTTTTATATTTTGTATTTTCTTTGTAAAGTTTTAACTGCTGTTTTTTTTAAGGTAGACAATATCAACATCTGTCCAACGGATGAAAAATAGCCTTTTGGCTAATTCTAGTACATTTGCAGTAATGCTAATTAATGTACACGGTCCCTGTCAAATAAAATAAATAAATAAATAAATAAATAAATAAAATACCCTGGAGGATGTTCAGGGAAAACGTTTTCATATTTAATCATAATATAAATCGTTCCTGAATGTGAACCGCTGCTGAATCTCTCCAGGATCTGAAACAGGTTTCGCTCCAGAACCAGATCCGGTTCCCCGGAGAACCTCGCAGTGATCAGTTCACTATAAAGTGTGAAGACCATATTAATAATCTAAAGCAGCGTTTCCGCTATAAAGACGAGATCCCGTTCATGTACCCGTCGATGCCAATGAATAATCTGTATTTTTAATGTTGTTATACAGAACTGATTTCTTTACCATAAAGATGAATCTCGCCCAAACAAAAAAAGATCATATTTGATTGCACAATACCTCGTGCAAAAGATTAGCATTTGTGAAAAAGTCATTTTCATTAAAATAAAAAAAGGTCATGAGAATGATGTCACAGTACAAAACATCTTAATGCTCCACAAAAAACACATTTCTTTGAGTAAATATGACTTCCTAATATTATTTTGAAAGAACAGCGAGGTGTGTGCGTGTCCATTGTTGAAGCTCACGGTGTGTGTGTGTGTGTGACGGGACATTGTGTGTCGTTTTGATTATTCCAGAAGCGTGTGACTCATTGTGTGCCGAGAAGCTCTGAACAATGCGCCGTTTAAAAGACTCATTGTTGCAGAACTTCATTTGTGGAAATTTGAGCAATTAAGCTGTCACGTTCCTGTGCTGATGACAGTGCGCACGGTGTGTGTGTGTGTGTGTGTGTGTGGACGTGTCAGGCCGCGATCTGGAGGACCCGAGCGCTCGGCGTGTGTGTGTGTTTCGCCCCATGCAGTGATGGGGTGTGTGTTCTGTCGCACTCGTGAGCTTCTGCTGCTTGTCATTTGGTGCGGTCGGCCCAGAGCATTCTGGGTAAAGGGCTCTGCTCATGCTCAGGAACACAGGAATGATGAGATCCCGGTAAATGGCCTGTTCTGGATTTGACTTTATCAACTACACATGATGTTTTTCCTATTTCACGTGTCTTTTTTCTTTAAGCGCCCCTATTATGTATTTTCTGGATATTATCTTTCATCCAGAGTGTAATAATGTAACTAATTAGCATAACGCCCGCCTCTGGTGTTGATTGGCTGAGCAGCATCTCTTAGCCCCGCCCTCAAACACTAGTGTATCTGAGACTGGAGAGTTCGGCTCGTGTTGTTCAGTGTGAGTGGAGATTATGAGGACATTACAGTGTTTCTGACCAATCACAGCAGAGCAGCACTCAGAGAGGCGGAGCTTAGAGAGACTGAATCTATTATGAGGACATTACAGTGTTTCTGACCAATCACAGCAGAGCAGCGCTCAGAGAGGCGGAGCTTAGAGAGACTGAATCTACACAGAAGCGTTTCAGAGCTGAAGCTGCAGTGGAGATTATGAGGACATTACAGTGTTTCTGACCAATCACAGCAGAGCAGCTCTCAGAGAGGCGGAGCTTAGAGAGACTGAATCTACACAGAAGCGTTTCAGAGCTGAAGCTGCAGTGGAGATTATGAGGACATTACAGTGTTTCTGAGCGTGGGTGAATGTGAATCTGTCGTAGGAGACTCAGAAACAACATTAGGAAACTTTAAAACAGCAGAATAGGGCACTTTAAGGTTTTTAAGAATCTCTATTATCTATTATTTTAATACACTTTTTAATAGTTTTAATTAAAAAAAACGTTTTAATGCTGATTTTTTTCAATGTCTCGACCAATAGTGTGCGTTTGGGGGTGGGGACATCTGTTTGTCCAACCAATGGCAGACGAGTGTCCTCTTCGCGAGCTGGAATTCTTCGCTCCTGATCGAGTGTATTTCTGCTCATCCAGAATAAAGATGCTTGCATGCATAATTCATCATTCCCGCTGCACATTAATGCCAGTGTTTGTTGATCAGGAATATGCTGAGGGATCAGGGCTTCAGGTCTAACGGCAGAGAGTCCCTGCGCTCTCACACCGGATCAGGACGGAGTGGCGTTAGCGGCGCACATTAGCAACTGAATGATTTATGCAAATGAAGCCCCTCAGCTACTTTTCATTACGTTGTATTAGAAGCGCAGGGCGTCTCGTCTCCTGAAGAGAACGAAAGAGAACAAAAGTGGAGCTCCCCGTCTGCTCTCCATCATAATGAAAGATTATATTCAGAAACGCTTCCTGCATCATCCAGGAGAATTATGATCATAACGGCTCTGGATCTCGTGTGTCTGCGGGGAGGCTTTCACACACACACTCGCTTTCTTTCAAACGAACCTTTACACTTCAAAACTTTACTAGAAGGTGATATTTAGGAATTATTTAACATCATGGTTCTCTGATGATGGTTATTGGCAACATCACATGCAAGCAAACATGAAATATTAGATTATTTTTATTCTGAATTAGTAGCTTCACCTTAGTCGACTTGACAATTTTTTTTTATTATTATTTATTTATATATACCAGTATATTTAAAATGTGTATTACTACTAATAATAATAATTGTAAAAACAAAATAAATAACAAATTAATAAATTATTATTATTAACACAAAGAGTTTTTTTTAAATATTAAGAATAAATGAATAACATTTAATGTATTATTTTGTTATATATTTTGTAATTATAATAATAATAATAATAATACATTTTATTTATATTGCGCTTTTCTTCTACCCAAAGCGCTACAATCACAGTACAAAAGTAAAACACATTAACAATTAAGATACATTAACACCAATTAAGACACAAACACATTCTTAAAAAGATGGGTTTTTAACAGTGTTTCTGTGCTATGATTATTATTATTGTTTAACTCTAATTATAAAAATTAAGACTTTTTTTTTATTATTTATTAATAATTTTATTTCACACTACAAGTTACAATACCTAAATGTATGTCTTAAACAATTCACATTGAAACCCTCAAATTTTAATATTTCAAATCTGTGCTGGAAAACTGGTGAAATTCTATAATACTGTCCACACAAATGTTGAAAATACTGAAATGTTCACGTCACGATAAGACATGAAAATAGAGTCAGTTTTGATTGCATGTTAAATATTCGTAGCGAAGATGGCTGTGGGCCAATGGGACTTGCGGTGGGCGGAGCTTCTGTCCGTCAGCGGCTCCTGTAACGTGTGTTGTGTTGGTGTCGGCAGATCTTCTACAAGGCCGTCAGCTCCTTCGACCCCGAGTTCAACTTGACCAATCAGAGCGGGAAGGTCCTGAAGTCCAGCAACGAGACGTCACACGTGTTCCCGGGCCTCTATCCCGGATCCACGTACTCCTTCACCATCAGAGCCAGCACGGTGAAGGGATACGGGCCGCCCGTCATCACGCAGTTCACCACCAAGATCTCACGTAAGAGCCGTGTGTGTGTGAGAGTGTGTGCGTGTGTGTGTGTGTGTGCGCTCATATGTCGTCTGTCACTCACACAGCTCCGCGTATGCCGGGATACGAGCAGGAGAGTCCGCTGAACCAGAGCGACAGCACAGTGACGGTTCTGCTGAAGCCGGCCCGGAGTCGAGGAGCGCCCGTCAGGTGCACTGCCATTATCATTATTAAATAGAGTTATTGCATTTGCTTGAACATTAAAACAATAAAATGAAACAAACAAATGAATGAATATAAAAAAAATATGATAAACATATTATAGGAAATATAGAACTAGATTTATAAATAAAAATGTACAGAAATATACATGTTGATTCAGTTTGCAGCCTTTCATTGAGTAATTTAAATTAATTAAACTAGTTATTTTGCTGGAATAGAAGAACTGCATTATATACGTTATATAATCAGAAGTGTTTCGAAACTTGATGTTTTTAAAATAATTCAAAATAATGTGGTTACCAGAAATGTCACGTAAAAAAACATTTGAGGTTTTACAGACTTAACTTAAATTTACAGTAAAAAATGTATTTTATTATTTGATGTAATGTTAATTTACCAACATATTAAAGTACTGATATCTGTTTTGACATCCACCAATCACAGTGGATATGAGTCACATGATTAATCACAGCTCATAATATGCAGAACACACACACACTGATCACCACAATGGTGACAACAAAAAACAATAAACGTTAATTTAAGAACATTAAATGTAACACAGAACCTTAATGTACATAACCGATGAGAAAAAATTTGAAATCTATGACAGTTATTTCAGCAAAAGTAACAATAACGGGAATTGTGGGAATGTCAATTTACAGTTTTTCACTGTAAATTATACAGTGATTTGTTATTTTTCACGTCCAAAAACTGTACATATTTTTATTTCAGGATTCTTTGATGAATGCAAATGTACACAACTGTTTTCAACACTGATAATAATCATAACTGAGCATCAGATCCTCATATTAGAGTGATTTCTGAAGGGTCATGTGACACTGAAGACTGGCGTAATGATGCTGAACATCAGGAATAAATTTTTTATTTTTATTTACATTGAGATAAATATCTCATTTACAAGTGAGCCCTGGCCAAACAATTTTTGTATATTCACAAATTGTCACAATATTTAACAATATTTTTTTAAATCAAATAAACACAGGCTTGGTAAGCAGAAGAGACTCTTTTATAAACACATTCAAACCGATCCCAAACTTCGACAGGTGGTGTAAAAGCATGAGAATCTCACAGTTTGTAGTGTGTGTGTGTGTGTGTGTGGTCCTGAAACGAGGCCGTTCTGAAACGAGCATCGTCTCACTGTCCGCCCGAGCGATGCGCAGGTAAACGTGCGCTTGTGATGATAATGATCCATAATTCAGCAGATCGTTCTGGTCACGGGTCGGCGTGCGAGTGAAGATAAAAGCATCTGCAGAATGAATAAATGTAAATGTGAGTGTTATTGGAAACACTCAGCGCTGCGTCGGGATGCTGTGAAACCGGACCTGCACTTACTGTGCGTCTCTCAGACCCGCGCGCGGATCTAATGGCTCGGAAACGCTCCTGTTCTTCTTAATCTGTTCCTGCGGGTCTGAAAGCCTCCATTAGGAGTCCGGCAGCGTGGAAGAGGAGTTCGGGAGACGTGAAGTCATGTACACTACGTTTGGAAAGGCCTCAGTTCAGGAGAGAGGGGAAAAGTGCAGTGTAATGTTTTTAAAGATCACCGATAATAATTCATCTCTTCAGTGTGTGATCATGGAAAGCTCCAGTTCTTCTCTTTATCAGTGTCAGTGTTTCTGAACTCCTGAAACGCCTCCATTGTAGTCTTGAGTTTCTTCCGGGAACGAACACGTCTCAATATTCCTCATTATAATAATTCATGCGCAGAATAAAGGGGCGGGGCCTGGTTGAGTTAGTTAGTAGTGTGTTAAACTGCGGTTATGGAAAGGGGCGTGGCTTTCCCAAACACACTTGAAGCGCTCAACCAATCACAACATACTGCTCCAGCCGACCAATCAGAGCTCAGTGTGCTTTTCAGGATGAGGGGCTTCAGAGTGAAGTATTGTTTATTTGCACACAAGCAACAGTGTGTGTTGTTGTTGTTGTTGCATTAAGGTCCTCACACACCGAGTCCGAAATTCTAGTCTGAAATTTTTGCACGTTAAAAAATAAATACGACCTCACGATGTGTCAATCATGTTTACACACTTCCTCCGAAATGTTCATCCGCCATTGAAAAATGGGCATCGGGTTCGATTTTCTTTGTTTCTCACATCTGTAACGAGCATTCTGCCGATTCAGAACCAATGAATGCCGGATTCGACAAAACACACACGAAAATGTCGTAGTCAGTGTGTGAGGGTCTTTAGTCTAAACACTGGAGGTCTGTCAGTCCCGTTTAGACCGGTTTAATCAAGCCTAACTAGTCACATGATCACTGGATCGAGCGGAATCAGTCACATGATCACTGGATCGAGCGGAATCAGTCACATGATCACTGGATCGAGCGGACTCAGTCACATGATCACTGGATTGAGCGGACTCAGTCACATGATCACTGGATCGAGCGGAATCAGTCACATGATCACTGGATCGAGCGTATTCAGTCACATGACCACTGGGTCGAGCGGAATCAGTCACGTGATCACTGGATCGAGCGTAACTAGTCACATGATCACTGGATCGAGCGTATTCAGTCACATGACCACTGGATTGAGCGGAATCAGTCACATGATCACTGGGTCGAGCGGAATCAGTCACATGATCACTGGATCGAGCGTATTCAGTCACATGACCACTGGATCGAGCGGAATCAGTCACATGATCACTGGATCGAGCGGAATCAGTCACATGATCACTGGATCGAGCGTATTCAGTCACATGATCACTGGATTGAGCGGAATCAGTCACATGATCACTGGATCGAGCGTAACTAGTCACATGATCACTGGATCGAGCGTAACTAGTCACATGATCACTGGATCGAGCGTAACTAGTCACATGATCACTGGATCGAGCGTATTCAGTCACATGATCACTGGATCGAGCGTATTCAGTCACATGACCACTGGATTGAGCGGAATCAGTCACACGATCACTGGGTCGAGCGGAATCAGTCACATGATCACTGGATCGAGCGTAACTAGTCACATGATCACTGGATCGAGCGTATTCAGTCACATGACCACTGGATTGAGCGGAATCAGTCACATGATCACTGGATCGAGCGTAACTAGTCACATGATCACTGGATCGAGCGTAACTAGTCACATGACCACTGGATCGAGCGAAATCAGTCACATGATCACTGGATCGTCAGGTTGACGTCATTAATGAGTGTGTGTCAGTGAGTCTCGGAGCTTTGCTTTATTTCAGCAGAAGCCGACGGACTGATGAAAGAATGATGGGAAGCTTCTGCACTTTAGCAGGAATAAAAATAAATAAATCACAGGGTGTTTTAGCACTTTTGGGTGTATGATAAAACATTCAGAATCTATTGTTGTCTGAGGGCGTTTTAATGGAGGTAGACAGATAGGAGTGTGTGTGTGTGTGTGTGTGATTCAGAGCCACGTCCACAGGTGATGACAGGTGATAAAACCATTAAAACCTTTAAAAGCATCACACATCACATGTCCTGTCAGCGGCTCATCTTAATCAGCACCGGCAGCTCTTAATGAAACACAGTGTGGTTAATTACCAGGGAACGCCGTGGTGTGTTTCCCGCCGGCGAGTGTGTGTTCTCTGCCAGCGAGTGTGTGTTATAAACAGATATCACGATGGGTCTTTGTGTGGCTGATCCGGCGGATCTGAAAGGCCGAATGAAAATAGAGTGTGTGTTGTACATGCTTTTAAACGTGGTGATATGAATACGAGTGCGAGGCTGATCCGAGATTATCCCGCAGATGTGTCTTCAGATCGTGAAACACTGGAGCGCGCGCGCGTGTGTGTGTGTGTGTTTTGCTTCACGGCACAATAGAGGCGCTGGTGAAGGATCAGTGTTCGTCAGATTCGGTGTGTTTCTGTCGCCCACGCCGGGCCTGCCACCGCCCACACACACACACACACACACACTGGTTTCATGTAAAGCGCTGCTCTGCTTTTGTGTTTTCTGCTCCGCTGAAGCCAAGTGTAATGGAAAAGCACCCGCTCTCCTCTATTCCTGGAGACAATCGCTCGTTCTCTCACTCTTCCCTCGGGGTGTCATGATCTGCCTCTTCTCGTCCTCCGTTTTTCTGCTTCTGTTGTTTCAGACGGGCAGCACCGTCTCTCGAACTCTCCGTACACTACGCCCTCCTCTCCTGAAGAAAAAGTGCGTGCTCGTGAGTGTGTATCAGAGGAGCAGACGTAAAGTTAATCAAATTAAAGTCACTCAAACCTTTATCTCACACATATCCGCCATGTTTGTAGTTTTTTAACACTATTTTCTGGTGTTTGTAGTTCCTCCTATAGTGAGCACAGATCCACACTGGGAATAGTAGAGCATCCGCACTTGACTCGCTTATCCTCATCTCAGGGTCCACGTCACTGATGAAGACGAAGATGATGAAGATGTCTGTGTGTCTCAGAAAGCTTTTATTATGGGCTGGATCAGATCTTCATCCCAGTTTGATTTCCCCCGTTCCTCTTAAAGAACGGCGGAGGAACACCTCGTGCTGCTTTTATTGCCCCGATCGGCTTTTTATGACGCTTTCTGTCAGTTTATGATGTTTTATTCCAAGTTCATTTTTATTAACTTCTGCAGAAATAACAACAGTGTTTTGTCTTTATAGGTCGAAAATTTATGTGACGCTCAAATCCAGATCATATTTCACTCCAAAAAATGAAGAAAATGCAGCCGGGTTTAAAACCAGTAGATCTAATCTTACAAAAAAAGTAGATGCATGAATGATTATATAATTTATCATGAACAGGAACACCTGTTCAATTTTTCATGAATGCAATTATCTAATCAGCCAATCACGTGGTGTGGTCCTGTCTCAGAGGTCTTTTACAGCACTGGAGACTAATCGATACGGACTGAAGGCGGACACCCAACCCCAAACTGAAGATCAGTCCCAGTCTCAGGTCTCCGCATCCCAGTTGCCTGCTGGGACTGGCCAACGGTCACGTGACCTGAAGGATCACTGGTTTAGGGCTCTAATTGGGGT